GACATGTAAAAAATGTATTGTTTTCATGAACATGAAGCATTGCAAACACTTTCTCTTCACGTATCTTTTCTTTAGTACATTAGGAACTCGTTAAACACAATGCTTATCTTATTCACAAAATACTTATTAAATAGTTGTTATAGGTCATAAAATGTTTTCAATGTTTAGACTGAAATAACAAAAACAGTATTGAAAGCCTCTGCTTTCATGCAGCTTAATTCTAGCAGAAAGACATAAATACATAAAAGCATAATATCTCAAAAGGAGATGAGTAATCATAGATAAGTGGGAGGCTGAAAATAGAGGGATAGCAGTTTAAGGTCAGGCCAGGAGAATAGTTGAGGAAAACCCCTTCTGTACACATAGGTGGGCACAGTGTTATACCCCTGTCATCCCAAGCTACATGTGAAGCTTAGGTTGGGAGACTCACATATAAATGATGTATAAATGCAAAATTAGATATTCATGTGTGAAAAATGGAACCAGACAAATCGAGGGGATGAGTGGGTTGGGGATGAAGGGAAAAGATGAAAGGGATGACACTTGATAAAGATTCACCGAACTCACAAACTGAAATGTGGAAATAAATTTAGTATAACTACTTAAAGATAATTAAAATTCTAAGAAAAAAGAAATTGAAAGGAAGTATAGAAGGAAATACAAAAGGAAGAAAGGAATGAAGGAAGGAAGGAAGGAAGGAAGGAAGGAAGGGCAAGATGATAAAGAGAGAAAGAGAAAAAGGAAAGGAAAGATAAAGCAAGCAAGCAAGCATGAAAGTCAGATTAAAACAATAATTCTGATTCTGGAATAGACATCATTTTATCTAATTAAATTAAGTAGAAGCTGAGAACTGGTGGCTCACATCTATAATACTGGCTACTCAGGATGCTGCATTTTTGGGGACTGAGGTTCAGCGCCCAGGCAGGAGACTCTTACCTCTAATTATCACAAAAGCTGGAAGTGGAGGTGTGGCTGAAGAGGTAGAGCAAAAAAGCTCAGGGATATTTTCCAGGCCTTGAGATCAAACCCCAAGACCAGTGTATAAACACGCTCATACACACACACACACACACACACACACACACACACAACTGAACATACATTTGAAAATTCTGAAATAAAATATACATTCATTTAGGTTGTCTTATAATAAAGAAAACCTCATCACGGAGGAACAAGTATGTGTTTTAATAGTATTTCACTATTTTCAAAAAAGAGCGAGGTAAATTATTCTATGAAATTGATTTTAAATGCAGATTACATTTATTTTGAATCATAGAAATGATTGTCAAGTGATGACAGGTGTGAGGACAGATCTCAAAGAAAAAAGGCGGAAAAGAGAGTCAAAGTTCTAGTTAAGTCAGTAACATCCCATCTTTGGAATGATTCTAAAAGAAGAACCGAACTTTCTTGAAGACCACGCTTGTCAAAACAACGCCACACATATTACACATTAGCACCAGGGGCACTCATGATAGGAAGGCAGCAAGGCCTGAGCGGTACGTGATGCCAACTGCAGTATCATTTACAATGGGTGTTTTCATTGTACCCACTGTGAGCTTAGAAAAAACCTGCTGAAAAATATTGGTAAGGCAAAGAACATATATGAAATAACTAAAATTCCTAGAGAAAGTAGACAGTTTTGATTTAGGATACAAATACTGAAAACATTACTTAATAACTTTTGAAACAAGACCTTGAATGTTTTTTCTCAGCTACAGATGCGACTGCATTCCCTTCCCTCTCAGCTTAATGCATCTATAAAGCTGTGGAAGCTTAATACATCCTCAGACTTTGTGTAAGAGCACAACTGTGTCTGTGTTTTCATTGCTACCGTCTTAATGTGGCCCGTTAGTGCATCTCACGGGGACCATTTCAGACTTCAGTTGGCATTAACCTCAGCCCATTCTCTATGCATCTCTTGGTGGTCCTTCTAAAATGTAAACTTGCTCAGGGTAATTGCAGCTTGTAGTCTTGTGTCCAACTTCAGTTTTTAGGCTGACATGACACAGCCTCATGCTCTAGTCCCTCCTCAGCTATTGTCCAGTCTGAACTCTTCAAATGTGATGTGCTATGTCACATATGAAACCATTTGCTTTGCAGTCATTTGGAAGCCGATTGTCCTTTTTAGCAAAACCCTGCAGACAAAATATGTGTTCTATCTGCTGTCATTGAACTTATACTGTGTAATTATCAAATAGATCATTGTAATATTATGTGTCATTATCATTATATGTATGAGCCTACCACTCTCGTTTATGGGCATATGAATCCAACTTAACTCTTGGCATATTTAGAATGCTGCTGAATTTACTAACTTGGAGGAAACCGTCAGTAATTTCAGTTTTTTTTTAAGTAAAACTAACCTGAATTAAATGTACAAGCTCTATACAACATTGTTTTCCAATTGCTACAAAAGAAGATATTGGAATTGGGGTTTGTTTGCCACTAGGAATATCAGGAGGAAAAAAAATACACATTTCCACTGTAGCTAGGAAAAAAAGTTTGGTAAACTGCCATCTAACAGAAGGTAGGAATGTTAGGAAGTAGGGAAAGATAGACCCCCTATTTCAGGCTGAAATCAGCAAACAAGATAATTATCGGTTGCTCTTAGGAGGTTTAACTTGCAGTAAAATTGTTCTGCCTTTTTTTGGGAGACCACAGAGTGTGTGCAGTTGCATTAAGCACTAGCAAAAATAGATTCTTATAGGCTGACATATAACAAAAGACATAAAGCAGAAATTCAAATAGTTTCAAGTACAGCTACAGGAAGTGATGTGCACCTAAAGGTACACAAAGTTAGATGATATAATCAGTGCCATGGGGATGGAGACAGGAGCGCGAACTAGAGCACTGGACCAGACAAAGCCCTAAATATGGCTCCAGTTACTGGTGGCGAAATGGAAGGCAGGAGTGTGGACACAGCTACTTGAACAGAGAACTCTAAAAGCATTTGAGACCAAATGCCCTGACTAGATCAAGAGGTTCCATCCACTGGCTCCACCTGCTATTGGTCTGAGCAAGTCTTCACAAACTATAGTAATAATGGGTGAGATCAGAATATGAGCTAGAAATCAATGTAAGTTTCCCTTAATAGTAATATTCCCTTAAAAACGTCTATTTCTTTATAATATTATTAAATTGTTTCTTACAGTGTTCTAAGACTTAAGGTTATTTTCATTGAGTACTATTCTCCTACGTATTATTATTTGGAATTCTCAGTCAATGGATTCTAATCTATATACAATGAAAAACCTTCTTAAACAAATAAAAATAAAAACTGTGTTTATGTGATAGAGAAGAGGGTTATATGATCATCAAAAATTCACTTTTCACATTAATAGAGTTCATGCTATATGAATCTTTAATAATCAAATATTAAGAGATATATAAAAACAAAATAAAAAGAAGACTTTGAATTGAAAATGTACTATAGAAACTATATGACTTAGTTCACTTTGTTGACTTTCATGTCAAGAATAAATCACTCAGTTAAAAAAATGTACTGGAGAATGTATACTAAGTTCCTGAACATCATCAGTGATGAAAGGATTTATAAAATGGTAAGAATGTCCAATTGTCTATGACAAACCTAGGCCGAGACCTTGTGTTTTGTTGTGGTCATTTTAGCTTTGGTTTACAATGCCCAGCATAATTCAAGACACCTATTACACATTCACTCAAATTTTGTGTGGAAAAAATGATCAAGTGAAGAGAATTAATACTAATTACACTGTAAGGCCCAGTGGAATAATAATAATAATGCTGCTGCTGATGACTAGTGATGATCCATGTTTGCATAAAGTAAAACTAAATTTACTCGTATATCTAAGATAAATGCAAGTAGCACATAGCTCATTTAAATGGCAGTAGAACTGCACACCTACAAAGTAATTTTTATCACAGGTAGGAACTTGTCAATGACCCCTGATTACTTGTCGGTAGAAAAAGATGTTGAGTGCGCCATTTTCCCTTTCTCCTCTGGATCAGCAATCAGACATACTCAGAGATCACTGATTCATGAAAAGCACTATATACTTGCTTTGAATTTTCAAGCAGTCAGTATTTCAGAAGTGTTTATATTATAAGTACACTTAGGCATCTCTCTGGGAGTGTGGTGTTCCACTGACTCTTAGCCAGATAGAAAGTGAGAATTTGCTTTATGATGTATGGTCTCATATATATTTTATCTATCACATATATAATTTCTGTGCCTTGATATCCTTCTTAGAAAGTGAATAGAAAAATTCCCATTAATCTACTAGCTTCAAATGGACATTTCCACCTGTTATACACAATCATCTAATTAGAATTGTATAAAAATTACAATGCTTGGAATAGTGTGACTAATTCCCTAAAGAGGATGTGACTCATAATTTTGAAAGATGAAATAATCTATCAATTTTGTAAGATGATAAATTTCACACTGGAAAGGTAATGGAAACAGCAAATTAAACTTTAATATTTACTACAGAGTTTCTGATAAAGAACAATGTAGGAACTAAAAGGTCATATAGTTTTCATTCATTTTCACTATTCTGCTTATATTTCCTCAAAGCTTCCTATTTTTCAATCACTCATGAAATTATTCATAACTGATTTACTGCAGTGAACAAGAGTCATTTCCTCATCCTATTTCTGAAAAATATCTTCAGAGCTTTTATACCTCAGACACCAACAGTGGAAGCAAAATGAAATGAGACTAAAGGAAAAAAGAGCAAAGCTCTTCAATCAAATAGCTCAGAAGTGAACGGTTCAGTTCATGAATATCTCAAAAAATCCCCTTAGAATTTTGCTCTCAACTATAGGTCTATTTACAGGCTTCATCCAAATGGAAAGTGAATAAGCAAAACCAGAAGAAAATAAAAACAAAAATAAAACCTCTGACATTAATTATCAAGTGAATGTCTTCAAGGCATTAGGACTACTTTATTTGCTGCTAAGCAACTAGGAGAACTGTTTCTCTCACTAGCTGCTTTTTGGGGACTATTGACTCTTACCTGATTGGTGCACCTTTGGCTTGGGCTGGTCGCAACAGCACAGTGATTGTGGTGGCAGTTTCATTGAGAGAAGCATCAACTCCTTCATAGTCAGGCAAAGTGGGAGCTGAAAATGGAGCAATGAGAGAGAGAGAGAAAGAGAGAGAGTTCAATTTATAGCAATATGTCATGGTCAGTATAAGTAAATGAGCCTTCTGAAAGACAGAAATCAACTTACTTTTTAACCATCTACAGTGTGCCTGATTTTACAGCAAAACATGATGCTGAACCTTAATTCCAGCAATCAAAGCATAGCAAATTATAAAGGCAATATTGTTGAAATTTACACAATAATCTGACCTGACAACTTTTGATAAACATACCATACTTTTATGTGTATATATATATATATGTGTGTGTGTGTGTGTAGTATGTGTGTGTGTGTGTGAGAGAGAGAGAGAGAGAGAGAGAGAGAAAGAGAGAGAGAGACAGAGATAGAGAGACAGAAAGAGAGGGGGAAGGGGAGAGGGAGGGAGAGAGAGTACTGGGGAGTAAACTCAGGGCCTTGTATTCCTGGTTGGCTTTTTTTCTTTTTATAATTTTTGATCAAGGCTAGCACTCTAGCACTTGAGCCACATACCTCACCTTCAATTCTGGCTTTGGTTGGTTAATTAGAGATAAAAGTTTCTTGGATTTATATGCCTGGGTTGGCTTCTAACCATGATCCTCAGATGTTGAGTTGCTAGGGTTAAAGATGTGAGCCACCAACATCCAGCTTTAAATACGTTTTGGAAGACACTTTGCTTTCAGTTTGTAAGGATCTGTAACTCAGCAAGGAAGGGATGTGAAAAAAGTGGAAGCAACTCAAGAGTACTGGCAATGGAAGAGCTGGAGTTCATTGGCATGTAATAAGGCTGCCCAGTGGAGCAGGGCTATTCTTGCTTTTATGACTTAGAAGAAGAATTGTCATTCTCTTAATTCTTCTTCATTTTTCTGATCACATGTAAGGTTGGTGAATAGGGATGGACATCTTAATTTTATTTGTTGAAGCTTTACTTTAATAAAATGTATTTGGTTTATTATTAAATGATTTCATTAGCTGTCATATTTTTGAAAAGAAAGTACAAGTTTTAATAATATTAAATAATGTTTAACTGGGAACTGGTTTATTCTTAATCATGAGCTGGTTGAAAGAATAACTTCAAATGATTTTTGGTTACTTCCAAGGTATAAAGATATTAAGCAATGCATACCTAGAGAAATATGTGCAATTATCAGAAAAACCTAAGCCACTATCAGGTAGTGCATTATTTGGTGTTCACCTATTCATAGAATATTTACAGAATAGACAGCTTTTATGATAAGTGCCACAGAGTATACTTTCTGACATTTATAGTATTACAAATAGGAATTAACATTTTATGAAACATTATTCTTATAAAAACAACAACACATTTATTAGGTTGCCAAAACAGATGAGTTGCCAAAAGAGCAGTAACTTTTAAGATCGAAAGCACTTGAGGTCTTTATTTATTTTTTTAAAAGACATATTACTGTCCCTTTCTCTGAGGATACTAACACATTCAGTAGATCTGGGAAGAAACCAGAACCTATTCCCATTTGTAAGGAAGTAGAAAGACTTGGAAAAAATTATATTAAGTGAATAAGGCTCAAAGAAACATAGGTCCATGGTTTCCCTTATTTGCAATAACTAGTATATTTCTAGGACAAACAGAAAAGGTCAAAAGCTATTTACCTATGACCAGATAAGATGATGCTAAGTGAAATGAACCCTGAGATAGGGACACAAGTGTTTTTTTTTCTTTCTTGCTATTGTTTTTTAACGTATTTATAATGTACTGTGTGATTTTTTTTGTTTCTTTTGTATGTTCTTGCCCCACGGTATAACCCCTGTTTTCACTATATTTGATGTCAGTGCCCTGCATCTTGTATATACAGTTTTCTAATTTGGGGAGGGGAAGGAAAAAAAAATGCTGAAACAAGGATACAGCTTGATCCAATGTAACAATGAGTCATTCAAGACACTATGTTGAAAACCAACTTTACAGATTGGGGGAGGAGGAGGAAGAATTTGGGGAGGTAGGGAGAGAAGGGAAGGGGAAAAACAATGCTCCACAGACAATATACTCATTTCTAGAAAGTTCTCAAGTGAAGCTGATGTTCTAAAGGAAGCACAATTAAAAAAAAAACTTAATGTTGCAATGGGGATGATGAAACAGAGGAAAAACTTAAGGATTTAGGCAATGGGGAAGCTAAATAAAGAGAAAATGTAAAAATTCATCATGAAGATAAAACTTAAATTCCAGAAAGTAGAGACAGTGTTTGAAGATATTAGTGTCTGGAAGGATAAGGTGCATTCTAAACAGCCACCTGCATGATTGAGGTTGACTCTACACCACTGGGAAAAATATATTAGATTGCAAAAATACCTAAGAAGAAAAATGTATGTTACCTAACATATAATAGAAAAATATATTGGAGAAGGCTGACCCTGTGAGGAGAGTACCACTCAGAAAGATATGTCAACAATCTGCTTATCTAATATAGTTCAGATATTTAAAAAATGGAACATAAATTAGAACTATTACAAATCATTATTAGAATTAATAGTTAACATCAATTAACTATTAGAAATAGTTAATTACTTAGCAAGCAGAATTAAGAAATATCAAATATATCACATGCAGCATTTGTCCACATGCATTGTGTGTGTGTATATGTGTGCTTGTGTATGTGCACATAAAATACACCTGTCACAACTCTAGTAAGTTAATTTCAATTGTATTTAAACTTGATTTGAAGCCTTCTAGGAAACAAAATTATTGGACTTAAGGATAATTAATAATAAATTATCTTAATACTTCAAGTTGGCCAAACTCTATAAATATTGTCAGCCTACTGGTGATTACTACTTGTCCCCAATATAAAATGAGATCAAGTATGGCTTTAAAGCACATTCAATTATTTGTAGTTCTCAGGTTGATGCAGAAAATTAAAAGAAAAAACTAGATGGGTTTTTGGTATTTAATTAAATATTTTCTTTCTCAACCCTAACATTATTTGAGACGAGAAATTTTTTCTGAATATATAAATAGCTCTCAGAAATGTACATTTGCTCAGTGTTCTCTGTTTTATAAGCTCATGCAAATTTTGTAGTGATCTCTATGGAAATATCTCACTCAATTATAGCACTACTGCTAATTAAGGAGGATAAGAAACTGTCATAACATCATCAAATATTATTTTCTAATAAAGTGATTCATTTATATTTTAATATGAAAACCCAGAATTGTTCCAACAAGAAATAAAATAGCAATTTTCATACACTTTCTTTGTTAACATATGGATGTTATCTTAAAATGCTCATTTTACTAATCAAATGTGCTGCAAGAAAACATTAGAATAGCTAATTTTATTCATACTATCCATTTTTCAATTTTATATTATAGTTAACATATTTCCAAAAATATTTAGACTGAAACAATTTAGGTAATGAGACTCTTCCTTTTGGCAAAGATATTCAGATTCAGAACAATGTGAAGAATTTATAATAAATATTATGATACATCACTAATATGCACTATATCAAAAATAATAAAAATGACCAGAAATAATTCAAAATCTAAGTTATACCTTATTTTTATGTAGATGACCTTTAAAATATTTACTATTCAAATTTAAGTTCAGATATATTTGTGTTATATACTTTAAAAATAATCTTAAATAGATGAAACATTTTATAAATTAAAATAAGTTTAAGGCATATTATAAATTCTTTGCTAGAATGTAATCAGGTTTAACTGACGGTATCATGAAAGAAGAAACAATGTATATAAACAACATAGTTGAATACAAACTATAAAAGTATGGCTATAATAAATGGAAATTTTATGTTTCTTTATCAATCTAAAATTCGCCTGCAGTTCCCATTCTAAAATGTAGATGCTTTTATGTGAGATTTTTTTGTTTTAAAGAGAAAATGGACAGCCTGGTTTTATTTAACATGCTCGAATGTTAATGACAATCCAAGAGAGAAGCTCTGTGGTATTTTGATACGACAACAAAGATATACTACTATCTTTTGGGGTGCTTTATTAAAAATCAATTCATAGCAGAGATCAAATACCATGGTAATCGCTGAATCCTTACAAAATAAAAGACTATTATTCGCTATAATGAACTTCAGAAATATTTTTAAAAGGTATATTGCAATTTTTGAAAAGATTACTGTCAATTAAATTGAGAAGTATAACCAACAGTAATTTTTAGTTTATATGGTTCCTTTGAAGTGCTTTCCATCATGCAAAATTTTATTAAATATAGAATAAACAAAGTGAGTACCACACAGTATGTATGTGATTCTCCATGCCCATACTATTTAAATCAAGAGCAAAACCAATCCTCTTTTTACTTCCTTCATTTGCATACCTGAGATATTTGTTGTCACATTGATGGCTGTGGCTGGCCCAAAGCCCTTGACTGTGCTGGCTCGGATAAAAAATTGGTAGGTGGTTCCAGGGTGGAGATGCATAAATACATGATGTGTACTATTCCACAAGTTTGATACAGTCTGGGGAGGACCAGCCACTGGTACTGCAGGATCAAATGATCTTATGCTGCTATAACTGACCTGTTGTAGAAAATACATATTCCATTATGTAGCTGGTAGAAGGAAGTCCTAGTAAATTGTAAAGAAGTAAAACAAAAACAAACCTCTAGCTGAATAAAATATTACACAATACAACTTTGTTGAGTCAATTATAAATTTTTCTACTCTTTCCTTCTAATTTTGCATGGTTATTTTTATAGTTCTGTTTATCTGTCTGTCTACATATCCTCTACAGCTATCCTAGAGATATACTGACTAGACAAATATATATATACATATTTTCTATCAAAAACATCAAAAAATAAAGTGATATACTTAATCATATGTACAAAATTTGATGTTTATTTACTGAAACAAAGTAGCATTTAAACATGCAAAATAGCAATATCAAACTAGAGGTCTCATTTCTTCGATTCATTCTGTAGCAACTAGAAATTTAAAAATTTATATGCTATAATCAATACTAACTATGCAAGAACAGACTGTATAATTATGCAATTAAATATATTCTCCCTTTCTTCTCTTTAGCTTTTTATATTTCAAAACATAGTGATTTGTAATCAAAATTGCAACTCTGAAATAACTTTATAATCTAAGTTTCTTTTTCAGATATCAATTCCTTACCCTGAAATAACCGACAATAGTGGTATCTCCTAATATGATTTTCTTAATTTTATAAAAGGAAAATTTAGAGTTTGTGAAACATTTTTGAAATCAAATAATTTATAAACTAAAGCAAAGAAAAAGTAATATTTTAATATCCCAATCCTTATGACTTTCTTTTCCATTATTTCCCTCTATTTCCCCCCCGCTTCCATCATTCCTTTTTCCACATTTAAATTAACTTCTTTGTCTCTCAGTACCTCATATTGTGTGATGATTCCATTTGGGTCCAAAGGCTCTTTCCAGTTCAAGAAAATCTTGTTTTCAAAGGATGTTCCTTGGAGAGATTTGATTGGAACAGGGCCAGGCACTATAAATATATGCATTTTCAGTTATAAGAATGGTTCCAGAAGAAGTAGAAAAAGAACATCATGTGAAGTACATAAACAAAATTTGAAATAAAAGCAAGTGAGTTTTGAACAGCAAAAAAGTCTATAAGACCAGCCGTCTAACTTTGCTCAGATATATGGGAACTTAAAATTATTCCATAAGAGTGTAAAACAGAAAATAAAGTAAGGTTATTTTTATTCAAAAGAATATTCTATCACCTTAGAGAGTTACATAAATTATACAGTCTAGTTTTCTCGGTTGTATAAATCTAATAACATGAAGATCTTATTTGTAATTTATTTCCAGAACAGAGCTATAGCTCCCTGAAAGATTTTTTGAAGATTATGATAATCCCCTAAAGAGTCTCCATAAACAAAGTTCATAAAATAATGAATACTACTAATAATTAACACTGTTAGGACTCAAAAGCCAAAACACATAGCATTAGATTGAGATGCCCATTAATAATCATCCAGGCATTTATAGCTATACTTTTGTACAATTAAAAAGATAGTGATGATTATTATATTTTTTAAAGTTATTTAAGATGGATATATTCAAATGTCTTTGCTAGGAATCAAACCAGCTTATAATGTCATATTGGTATGGAATTCAATGATCTGTTAAAAAATGATTTTGTTTGTTTATGTGGTAGGCAAATGCTCTTGCAATGAATCACACCCTTGGTCCCTTGATTCCTTATTTCTGAACCCAATACTTTTTAATAAGTTGTGAGTAGCTATCATTGGACTCCTTACTCCTTACTTGCAAATGTCATGTAACTGCAAATCTTATTGTTTCTTATTATATCATTCTGAATGAGCTGCCATCTTCTGGTTGCAAAATATTCAACATAGTTCTACTATTGTGCCTTTTCCTTTTACGCATTCCACTTAAGTTGTTTATATTTCATCTTAGTTCATATTACATATATGGATATATATATATATAACATAAACGTATATAATACTTAGCTCTTTATTCACACAATTGACCAAATTCTACTTCTGATAACACTTTACCATTTATTCACAACAGAACATTCTTGGCTTAAAAACTTGCTTCCTTTTGAAAATACCAACCAATATTGGGCAAGTATGTTTTTTAATTAATATTTTCCCTTAATCTAACGTTTCAGTGAACTTCACACATGACATTATCTGGAAATGCCATTCCAAAGTATAGAGCAATTTTGTGAGGACTGAAATAAATTAAAAATCACTGGATCAAAGGAAATGCATTGCTTCTTGGCTACAGCATCAAGAAATTCTGAGTGATGTGTCACAAGAATAAGATTTATTTCAATCTACAAGGAGACTATGAATGATGTTATGACCTCTGAGACGGGCAACATAATTTGGAACATGAATAATAAATTCACAGAGGAAGGAAACCCACAGCTAAGAGAAAAGATACCAGCACTGAATTTAGAAGAGGAGTGTCCCTGTATTTGTCAGCTAAAGTCATCTTTGGCCTCATCTCCGTGCTGCACAATGTGTGGTGCATAGGGAAGGCCTGTTGTTTCTCTTCTACCAAATGATGCAGCACATCACAGTAACTAAGGAAATGACCGTTCTTTACCTATCATTCACAGAAGGCGATAAGGAGGCAGGGACAAAATCCAAAACAGTGGGGAGATGTTTACATGATGATGTTATATTTATAACTGCTTATGTTCACCTAACACCTTTTGGCCTGCAATGTGTCATGGGTGTGTTTAAAACAGTGCACAATTAGCAATTTTTTAAAATGCTTGTTCCATGCTGCGTTGAAAATAATTGGAAAGCTTCTCTATAAGTTTTATATATCTATGTTCTTTACACACATGTAATAATACCATGAGGATGGAATCCACTTCACTTATCCATTGGTCACATCTTGGAGATGGAAAGTGTGGGAGAAATTACAAATAAAACATGCCATTCTATTGATCTTTCCTTGGACAGGGAAGAGTAAATGAAAACAAGGCCTATACTTCACTGGGCTACAACACATTCACACACACACACACACACACACACACACACACAGAGATAGGGATGAGATGTAGTACAGGCCAATTATATTCCTTAGTTTTGTTCTTTTGCAGGGAGTTGTGTTCACAGAATATATCTCCATCTACTTAAGATTTCATGTGTGCATGCAGCACATAGTTACTAAAGAAAGCCTTGTCACAGCCTCTACAGACTTCAAGGGACATCACTTCACATTTCCACATCAACAATTTGTAATGGAGACAGAATGCTGACTTTTGTTCCCATGCTTGTGATTTAGAAGAGAGCTGCTTCAGCTACTTTTTTTTTTTTAACGTATAACAAACTCTTTTAAAAGGCAACTTACAAAATGGAAAAAAAGAAAGGAAAAATGAAGCATGGGTGGGTTGGGTGGGGGGCTAAATTAAACAAGCATTTTCACCTTTAAAATGTGATAAATGTATTTATAAAAAGAGCTTTCTATTGTCAAAATTGTTCCCAATCAAGCTTTTCTGCCAAGCTAATGTTATAATATTGATTTGTATGAAGGTGGGAATTAAAAATGAAAACAAAAAAAGTCATGTGAAAAATTCTGTTCATGTATGAAAAAATGTGTGCAATAAATTAAATATAAATTCCACCTTAGGGTTCTTGTGGGAAATTATTCTAGCTTGCTCTGAAGATTTATGGATGTTCCAGTATTCTGTTCATATAATTACATCCTCTTATTGGATGGTTGATAATTTATTCTTTTTCTATGTATATAGGGCAGCAATAATTTAGTAAGACTGCCTTCATCAGATCATCATAATCACTGATCTTCTCAACACTGGGTCATGATTTAGATATTTTTCTTCTTGCTATGTCCTAATGTTCATAATATTAAGCATTCTGTGTAGAAACGGAGATACTTACAAATCCCTCATAAAAGTTTGTACGTCAATCACTAGATATTATATGTGGCAGAAAAAAGAGCAAGAAGAAACGTTATCAGTCAGAGTAGAGGGGTTATTTTGTGATCATAATATGAAATAATAACATGAACCTTAATGTCATTAAAACCAGTAAAATATTCCAAAAGCACATATTAAAACTAGGGTCTGAAAATAATATTAATATTAGTAGAAATAGCCATTTTTCTTACTAAACTAATTCTGGATATAGTAAATATCACAAGAACTTAACTTAGAGTAATATTGCATAGCAATTTCATATTCTGGTTATTAACAAGCCTTTCTATATGCTAAAGAAATACATTTAAAAAAAAGCCTTAATGCATTCTTTTGTGAGGAAAAGAGCAGATGAATAATCCATATCAAAGTGCATAACCAACATAAAGTGTATTACTAAAGGGTGATTGGCTATCCTCTTCACCACCAAATTCAGGTGGAATTTTCTACAGTTATCAATTAAGAAATGAAGGTTTAAACATTTTAAAGTAGGAAAAAAGCCAAGTGAAAGTATCTATATTACTAAAACTATAATTTAAATATTTCTAGTCTGACAGTCATTGGAACATTTATCCCAGATTATACGATACAGATATTTAGTGTTTGAATACACACTAACATTTCTTACTTCTATTTACCTATGAACCAATTACCTTTAGCCATTCTTTTTGCATAAACATGGGTTAAGTGGTACATGTGTGTGTGTGTGTGTGTGTGAGGAAGAGGGACAGAAGAATTTTCAAGTGTCAATAGAGGTTTGTCAAATACCATTGACATTTTGGCTTGAAAGAGTTCAAGAATAATATCAGAGATAGTTCAAGTTTGGTGAACGCTATATCAAACGTATATTTATCAAATAAATCTTAGGTTTATTCTCTGAAATTTTAATATGTAAGAATGGGTCCTATGAAACCTGCTAACTACAAATTCTGAACTATAGCTAATCAAAAGGCTCTCACTTCTACCTTATCTTGTTTGTTTTACAATGAAGCATCAGGACAAGAAAACAAAGGTATTTCCACTTCTCAGAGTAGGAGAACTCTGAAATAATGAGAATTCTCATAAACTATGTGTTATTAGCCTATTTTATGGCAACCTCATGCTTTGGTAGGCACCAAATAATACAACTGAGTCTAAAATTTAGAACCTGAGGGAAGTTGCAAAGATCTCCTTTTAAACTACACCGTTTCCTCCCTATCCCTATGGAGCCTTCCCATCAAGCAAGCAATGCAATGAGAATTTTGGAAGATCATGGAACTTCAGGGATTATTTCCATTAACTACTTCATAGATGGATAAGAAATTTGGATAGAGAGGGGAGAGAAATTACAGAGGACACATGAATGCAAACATTTTTAATCACAGCATGCCAGCCTTTAATGATAAAATGTGGAAATGAGGGCTTGAGGATATAGCTCAGTGGAAGAGCAATTGCTGGCAAGTGCAAGGTCCTGAGCTTGGTCCTCAGCACTGCAAAAAAAATTTTTTTTTTCAAAATGAAACCAAAATGTATTATTATTAATCTTAAAATATTGCTTTATGTAGACTATTTAAATAAATAAATTGTTAGGCTAGGTAATATGTCCATATTTACGGTAATGATACATTATACTGTAAAGCTGGTGAATGTGTTTTTAAATATTAGTATAAATATTTGTTTTTACAATTTGATTATTTCGGAATGACACAGAACTGAACAATGTAGACTTCTGTTACTTGGATAGTGATGAGATATAAAGATGATAACGCAATGCTAGTAAGTAATAAGTGTCGTCTTCTATATTTGGACTCACACTATACTATATACTATCTAAAACTAAATGGACTGAGTAAATACTTTCAAGTAGTAGTTTAAAACAAAATATAGGGAGGTGGGGAGGGAAGGGATGGTAGGGAAAAAACAAAGGAGGAGGTAACAATGCTTGATAGGAAATGTGCTCATTACCTTATTCATTCATGTAACTAACTCCTCTGTACAGTATCTTTACCATAAAAATATAGATAATATTGATTTTTAAAACATAAAAGACTAATTTTTGTATGGAAGTTAATTTTATCATAGGTCACTGTTGTAATGACATAGATAATAAAACATTTTCTTTTTTTAAACACTTGCTATGGAAAACTTCAGTTGCTACTCCTATATCATTGCTTAAAAGAAAACAGAGGTACATTTCATTGAATATTTGGATACTTCTCAGAAGAAAAAAAATTGTTAGAGGAAAACACTATGCAAAATAACTGTATTAAGGTAATTTAGCATTATTTCAGCTTAGTAGGAAGGGTAAGGAAACTGTTAAGAAATTACATTAGTGCCGTACATAATAAGAAAATTGGAACTCACAATCTTCATCAGTTTGGATGATGGTCTCTTCACTCTCCTTCCTTCCTTCCGGATTGGTGAGTATCATCTTGAGGCTGACATTTGTATATGGTGGAAGATGGCTGACGACATGTTGAGGGGCTTTGGGGTCCATGTCCAAACAGTCTGCCTTGCTCTCATTGTGACCACGAAAGTAATGATAGCAGATAGTGACATTGAAAGTGTGGCACCGAGTGATATTGTAACCCAAGGACTCCCAGTCCACAGCAATCCGTCTTGCCTGTATCTCTGCAATCTTTAACGTCTTTGGGGTTCTCATAGGTTCTGAAAAGTAAAGTAATAGAAAGTTGTACATTTTGCCATAATTATCTTGGGAAAATAAACAAAACAAAATCAAACACCTAGCATGCGCAAACCCAGAGAAATGTGGATGTGGGAGCCATGCTTTTTAAAAAAAAATTATTGTGAAAATACTGTACAGAGGGGTTACAATTACATGGGCAAGATAATGAGTACATTTCTTATCAAGCATTGTTGCTTTGTTGTTTATGTTTTGCTTACTCATAATCTTATTCTTGAAAGTTTTCATTCAAGACTATGATTTATCAATGTGGAAAGAAGTTAAATAATTAAGTAAAAAAAGACAACTCCTAATACTCAAGAACGTGGCGGAAAAAATGAAAACTTAGAAATGTTGTCACAGTGCAGCTCTGACTGCTGCTCTTGTTCCTGCTCATTTCCTTTCCTTTTCTGATTCTACTGTTGTTGTTAGGCAGCAAGTGGGTTAGCTCATATATCACAATGGATAAGAGTCAATGTGTTCTGCTCTATGATTTGTCATGTCACTATGCTATGGTGTACAGTAATTAGTCTAATTGTAACACTAAGCTACCATTTACAAAAAATGACACAGCTATTAATTAACATTAATTATTTCAGTAATGATGTTGTTCATCAAAGCAAAAAAAATAAGAAAAATTACAAGAACACATGTGGGCATTAATACTGTCTTCCTTTTTTCTTGGTCCTTTTTTGACTTTTTTCTAGAAAACACACAATCCTAACAATCCATTCACTGTCACCCAAACCAAAATTAGGAGATGAAATGCCATTTAAGATGGAACACTCTAAAGACTGGAGTCCATCCATCAATTCCTAGGTACATTCTTTACTCAGGCAAGACTACCTTTAATCATCTAACTGTATCAGAATATTACTCTATGAAAATCATGGCCATGAAAAACTCTACACAGTTAATAAACACACAAGCTCGCATGCACGCATGTGCGCACACACAGAGTAACACACACTGTAACTGCAGCCTTGGTAAAGTCACTAAAGATAGTTGAACAATTATGTTTCCCCCCATCAGTAATGGAGGAAAAAAAGAATCCACCAAAGTCCAAAATTTAGGTGTTTTTATACATCTTTATTTTAAGAATAAAAATTTCAATTCTGTGAAAATAATTAGTATGCTACACAGATGGTAAAACCTAAATTAGGAAGTCAGTTCAATGATTTTAATATGAGATCTTAAACCATTTCTGTAGGTATTTCATTTAAAATGTCAATAATTCAAAACTCATTTGCACACATGGGGAATTAACCTTTGGTTGATGCTTAGGCGTAGGGTTTAAATGTTGTTTTCCAAACTTACAACTCTCCTGTCTCTTTATTTTTCTTTTCTTCTGTGTGCTACCTTAGGCAAACAGATGAGAGAAAAAATGTAGCTTTCTAATGATTTAAATAAATTTGGACATCTAATTCTATGTTAACAGTTTCCTCACTTGGTAAATGAATAAATTATATTTTCAAAATGGACTGAGTCTGTTTCTACTCTTCACTCAATGACTGTAGCTGGAAGAATACTGAAATTTGCCAGAGAAGATGCCCTTTAGGGCTAAGGTCAAGTTGAACTATATTTTATTCTAAAAATTATTCTTCACTTGTTTCTGGTATGAAAAAGTAAGCATTGCCAGAAAAATACCTGGAGGACATGAATAAACAACAGTGAAAGAAAATGCTAAAAACATTTATTTACCCCTCATGTAGAGCTGTTTAGGTCTAGTATTTGAGACTTGTTTTTGTAGATGCCTCATTTTGAATCTGATGACTTCCCATTCTATGAATTTCTGTAGTTCTGTGCTTTCATCTGGTCTTATTTTTGTCTCAATATTAATTCCATAGCCAAATACAATTTTAAATCATAACTAGACAGCTTACATGCTCTAAAGGAAGAGAGTGTAGCTCTGAATTCCCATATTTAGGACTTGGTAAAAAATATATTTTTACCATTATATAAAAATCCATAGGGCTCGTTTTCAGAATGTTTTTAATTTAAATGTTTACTTTGGCATGCATAGTGAACTATACTAAAATATTTTACTTAACACTAAGAAGTAGCTTAATTTAATCCTACAAATATATGCATAATATACTACCATAATTTCAGTGACCAACACATTTTTAATTTAAGTTTTAAAAAACTGTGAGGAGATGCTTTTCTAAGCTAAAATTTTTCAACAAATCTGTGTAATTTACAATTCATATATTGACATTTTTCCTCATGGACTGGATAAATGCTCTAAGATGCTCTGTTGTTGCTAACATGGAGAGTTACACTTAGTATTTGACACTTATTTTTCTTATTTCTTATTTATTCACTTTCTGTTTCATTTTGTTGAAATGGGTTTCACTATGTAGCTAAGGAAGCATTTTTGTTTGCTTGTTTGTTATGTTTTGTATTTTGTTGGTCGTGGGGCTTGAACTCAGGGCCTGGGTGCTGTCCCTCAGGTCTTCAGCCCCTTGAGCCACAGCAACACTCCCAGTTTTTTGGTGGTTTATTGGAGATAAGAGTGTCAGGGACTTTCCTGACTGGGCTGGCTTTGAACCTTGATTCTCAGATGAGGAAGAACAGCAACAGGGAAGACAACAGAGAAAGAAGAAAAGGATAAGAAATGCAACCACACCTGATCCTTTTGGACACACACAACGAATTCATTTTGCTCTAGCATATGATTAAATACTTTATTTACTCTCATTTTGACTGGGCATTTTTGATCTCTAAGAAATATGATCTGCTAGATTTATGACCGGATCATGTTTATAGTTCCATTGCTACATTATAGGTGTTTCTCATATTGTGTAAGGACAAAAGCGCTCATCAAATGCATGTAGTCTATCTATGGGTGATATGAAAAATAATGTTAGTTAATGGTTAGATGCTTTATTTTTATTTATTTTTATTTATTTATTTTTGTCGGTCATGGGGCCTGAATTCTGGGCCTGGGCGCTGTCCCTCAGCTCTTCAGTTCAAGGCTAGCACTGTACCACTTCTGGCTTTTTCTGCTTATGATGTGCTGAAGAATCAAACCCAGGGCCTCATGCATGCAATCCAAGCACTTTACCATTGAGCTACCTTCCCAGCCCATGCTTTATTTTTAAAGTCTTTATTTTATCTTGGCCCCCAGAATTGAGTTTGGTTAACATGATCCCATAAATAAATATTTGTCAACCTTGTTTTGAGGCTCAAGATGTTGAAACAAATTGCCAAGAATAATATTACATTTACAAATTAGTTGATGATTCTAGATAAACCAGGAATACAAATACTAAACAAGGGTTGAAAGTTTAAAATCATTTTCACAAGTGGAACACAAAAACAAAATACCCCTCTTCACAGAAACGTAACTTCTTTGACTCTTCTTTGTAAAATACAAATAAGAGATTATGTCACAGGATTAAAAGAAAAGTGTTGACACTGTAAAATATGTGTCTGCACTAATAACCGGGAAATTCTGTGAAGGGTTAGTGTTAAAATGCTCATCCAGAATGCTCTTGAAATTCACTTCTAGTTCTGATTTCACCTTAGATTTTGCCTTTATTAAACCACTTCCAAACTTGGTGTATTGCGAAATTTGTTTCTATTATATGATTTAAGTTTTGGTATTCGTATTCTAACTGAACCAAACACAGGATATTTTTTTATAGAACTATAATCTCAATATAGTTCTGTGGGGTGTGTGTGTGTGTGTGTATGTGTGTGTGTGTGTGTGTATGTGTATATGTATGTGTGTTTGGTGTGTGTGCAGGGGGACAGACAGATAGTAAGGAATAAAAGGATTGCTTAACGGAAAGTAAGAATTCAACCTGAGGAGCATGGAAATATCTACTTGGTAAAATATATCAAAATAGTTTCTTTGTATAATAATTGTAAGCCATATAAGATGGAGAATATAGATAAGGGTTAGTTTCAGATTACAGATTAGTGAGTCAGGAACTTGTTAAAGTTAAGGTGGTAAAAGGAACAATCAAACTTTCCTTTTTCTTTTACAATGGATTTACTGATCCAACTCTTTCTCCTAAATCATCAATCAAGAAGTAAAGACAGGATAAAATCTGTGACATAGGAGCAGAGCAGAGGAATTAAGAAAGCTTAAAATTTCATTCATTTTGATATACAGGCTTGGAGAAAAGAGGTGCAGGCAGAGAGAATACGAAGAGGCAGCTGAAAAAGAAGCAGAAGCAAAATCCATCCTATTTTATTCTACTCTTTAGTTGATAAATGTCAATCTCTCTTATTATGTACCCAGTAGACAGATGTATAACATCACAAAATTCTCATTCATTCATTTCCAATAAATTCTATGAAAATGCTTACTTAATTTTTAAAAATGGAACAGGAAATGTTAACCATTAGTTTTATCTTCACAGCTAAATATGGAACAACAAGGTATAGCAATGTTTCCGTCTCTTTGTAGATTTTTTTTAACCATCCACCTATTACCGGTTTGAGAAAGGATACCATAAATCAGATGGAATAAAATCTGTAGCCATAATTACATAATTAGCAGGTTTAAAAGCAATATGTTTCTGCCTTCACTGAAATTCTCAACAGATTAAGCGTGGGAATTTATGTCTGTAATAATTTATAGAATTAATATTGAACCCAACTTAATAAGACCAAATGAAGAACCACTAGGTAATTCTCTAGGAGTTGGTAAAAGTAAAAGCAACATGGACACCTAGGACTGGTTGACTTTGAGGCATCTCTCGACATCAAGATTTATTAAGTAGTTCAAGATAGTAGATAAAAGGGAATTCTGTTTCTTTGGAACTTGATAACAACACATGCCATGACAGGTCAATATTCATGTCCTTTTGTAGTGATAATCTCCAGTTATTCTGAAGGAGTTGTGAAAACAAAAGCCTTAGCAGCTACAAGAGATGGAGGGCAGTGATCGTATTTCCCTAGAATCAGTTTTTTAATGATGAAGCTTATTATCCAGCTGTCAGTCAGAGAAAAACAGAAGTTATCCCAAAGC